GTGAGGATGGAGTTGTAGGGCTCCACCACTGCTGTGGAGACCTGTGGGGCTGGGTACACCGAGAACTCCAGCTTGGACTTCTTGCTGTACTCCACGGAGAGCCGCTCCATGAGGAGAGAGGTGAAGCCAGAGCCTGTGCCTCCCCCAAAGCTGTGGAAGACCAGGAACCCTTGGAGGCCACTGCACTGGTCAGCCTGCAGCAGAATAATGTGTATTTATTTACCTCTTTCTGTTAAGGACTGGAATAGCTACCCCAAATAATACAAGCAATAAATTCTGCTTAGAGCACTTACTGGCCAGAGTACACCCAACCCTAAAGTGGATTCACTCAGTTTATCGCCCTACTGAACATTTTAAGTACACATGTGTTAATCAATTGCAGCATTTCCATGGAGCCACCATAGGTAGCTCTTTATGGTCAGATGGAAACTCTTGGCAAATTGGTCCGTTATCAGCTCAATGCATACTTCAGCACCTGAGAGGGGATGGGCGGTACCATGTGGGTCCTAGACCCTTAGGAGATACCTCAAAAGCATTGCACAGACAGGTATCCAAGTACGTTGTTACAATCCTGCTTCATTCCTATCAAATGTGGAATTTGGTCTTCCCAGCCTGGCTACCAATTGTCCATTTAGAACTCGTATCCGCAATTGCACAACTAGGGTGTGGCTTCCCCGCAGTCAAAAGTCTTTCTCTTCTGTCTCTTGGGTCTAGTGTTGTGTCACCTCATCACGATATGCAAGGACAGCTGGTTTTAGGACAGATACACACGTTCAGATGACCCCTTGCTTTACTGAGCCCCAAAGCTAATCACGGCAGCAGCCACCCTTGGAGCTCACATAAAGTTGTTTTTCTTTTTAAGACTTTTAGCCCAACCTCAAAGTTCAATTGTATTGTCCATGGTGTGTTATTTTAAGGGAAATACTGTCTTCTCTCTTACCATTTTACGAATTCTGCTGAGGACAGTGTCTATAATCTCCTTCCCAATGGTGTAGTGGCCACGGGCATAGTTGTTGGCAGCATCTTCCTTGCCACTGATGAGCTGCTCTGGGTGGAAGAGCGCATGGTAGGTCCCAGTCCTGATCTCATCTACACAAGGAGATGGAGAGAACACACAGTTACAGGTTCTGGACATTAGTGTGACAGAGTAAAACACATAGCAAATCTACCAGGAGCCCACACGAGATGACAGTCATGGCGTGGTTAGTTCAGGCTGGGAATAATGGAAGGGGCAGAAATAACCCTGTCCAGGCTAATTTGTCAAGGTCCTACTACAACTCCTCCATCTTCGCCCAGCAGCGACCTTGAGATCCTAACGTAATTTGGCTTAAGAAGTTAGGACGCTGCCTATGTTTCCAACGTTATTGTAGGATTACAGTTACCATACGCAGCTTGTTTTTCTGCTTGTTGCAAAGCATCTTGAGGTGGCTGGAAGCACCACCTCCATCCTCTGCTCTACAGCATACTGAAGAGGAGACAGAGTGCCTCCAGTGTTGACATTTCTGCTAGGTGTATTTCACCCAACTTCAGGTACCTTATGAAGACAGGTATAAGGAGCACTTTCTCTAGGCTCCATGCAGTCAATGAGGTTGGAGGTACCTCCAGAGGTTATTCAAACCCACTCAGTCTCAATATTGGATATACTTCATATTCTACTGGCTTGCTCACTAGGTTCCCAATTTAATACCTTAATAAGGCGCCTAAAAATTAAGTGGAACCAAAACAAAAGTCTACATTCCTTCCATTAGATGAAATAATGAGTCACACATCCTAGATGGTAAGATAGGAGCAAACACTCAGGAGAAGCCTAGAAGGCAGAAGCAGGTAGATGAATGCACATAGTTAGGAGTAATTTCCACCAGTTCCTTGAGCAAAAAAAGAATTTGTTTTCTAGGAAGGAACTCTAAAGCGAAGTGCCACGGTTGAGTCAAACACCCAGAGATCACTAAAGGAGCTGGAAGAGGAAGTAGAAAGCTTGCAGCAGCAAGACACCCAGTTTCCACAGAACCATGAAATGTATAGCACCCATCTGCCCAAAGGAGCTTCACAGGTACCATTAAAACCAGATGTGCCACATCAGCTCATATGATGGGGTAATTCAGTCCAGAGCCACTGAGGTTAATAAACCCGTGGCACTTTACACCTGCTACGGATCCCGCTGAAGACAGCAGGTCTCCTAAGAAAAGGGATCAACTAAAGACATGTCAGTGTAGTAAGAGCAATAGGTTTGTCATTCCTAGGTCCATTTGGAAATGCAAACTCTGTCTCCTTCTGGTGGCTGGAGACATTTTTCCTAGAGCAAGGGAGTGGGAGCTGCTGGGCAACACGGGCAGCAACACGAGCCCCAGGTAGGAAGGGTCAGGAGTCAGAGTTAAGGATGCCACAACACCCAACTGCCCCACTATTACCAATGACAGTAGGCTCCAAGTCGATGAACACTGCCCGAGGCACGTGCTTCCCAGACGCTGTCTCACAGAAGAAGGTCTCAAAAGATGAATCCACTTGTTCGGACTTCGGCTCCACAGGTTTCACCTGCTTGGGGCCAGGAATGGTCCCATCCGCCTGGATCCCATGCTCGAGGCAGTATAGCTCCCAGCAGGCATTGCCCATCTGCACGCCAGCCTGCCCGATGTGGATGGAAATGCACTCCCTCTGGAAGGGGAAAGGGCTTGTTAAGGCGATTTTTAGACATCCTGTGACTTTGCACCAGCCCCCGCGGTTCTCGTTTGAGCCATTTGCTACCACGGATGATTAGGGAAACAGGCGGTTTCCACCCACCGCCAGGAGTTGGAGCGAGGAACAAACCACGATCTGCTGGGCAGCTGGACACAGCCGAGCCGCAGACGTAGCATCCCTAGGAAAGGCTCTCCCAGCCCAGGGGAGGAGGGAGGAAGGAAGGAGATGATGGGCTTTGTGCTGAGGAGGGAAGCAGCTGAGCAGCACTGGCTCCTCGCTCGGTGCTCAACCGGCCCTGCCATGGAGTCGAGCAGCTGTCAGTCCCCTGGGGCTCAGAGCAATGGGGCATCAGGGATAACAGCTCTGGGCTCCCTGAGCTAAAAAAAAAAGCTCTGGACCAAGCAGGGAGAAGCCAAGCTTGGGAAACCCACAGCCAAGCTGGGCGTCACAGCAGGAAACAAGGGTGGAGGAAACCAGCAGTCACCCAGGGCCAGAACAAAGGCAGGCTGACACCCGGGGAGAGGCTCAGACTCCTGATTTAACCAGGTCACTCTCCAGGAGCCTCTAACTACCTCTAGGGCAGTATTGGAGGTACTGGTGTCTCCTGGAGACTCTCTGGGGACTTTTGATGGTTGCACGCTTCCCTGAGTAATCGGCGTCTGTGCCGTTTCCCCCACCCCAAGATGAAAGCACTGCCGCGGCGATGACAGAGGCTCACGTCCCAGCTCCCAAGCAGAGACTCCCAATTACTGCCATGCACGGCATGGGGCAGTGCCGCTTCCCAAGGGATCACGCCATGAAAGGGAGCCGGTGATCCCACCTTGAGATGGCAAGCAGTGCACCCGATCCCATTATTTGTAGCGTTGACAGGCAGCTCGGTTCAAGTCCCATCTCATTTCACACCACCACCCGGTCCTACCCAGAGCTTATCCACAGATAAGCCCAGCTCCCCTGGGCTTCAGTAGCCCACCTTGAGCTGGGCATAACAAATGCCACCGACAGCCCAGTTGTCTCAGGGCCGAGAGGACACTCTCTGGGTGCACATCCCCAGGCACAACTATCCTGCCGGAGGGACTCTGTCCCTTGGAAGGCACTACCCTCCAAGTAATGCTAGACAGTCCTGGGCACCAACCACTTGTGGCAGTAGCCATCACAAGAAGGACGCAACGCAACTTCTCCCCTCTTAGTCTCCAAGCATGGATGTGCCAAGACATTTCTCAGCCCTTAAGTAACTCCAACGACCACCACGCGCCCAGCTCATCCACCACAAAGCTAGACACCAACTGGATGAATACTCCTGGTACCACAGAGGGACACCAACCCCTATACCCACAGCTGGCTAAACACCGCTTAATCCTGGTCTGGGCCAAGACCACCAGTTCTGCTGGGTGTGGAGACTGTGTTTAAGTCCTTCTGCTCCGAGTTGATATTTGCACTATGTGGGAAATGCTGACTGCCATGTGCCCATCCCTCTCAGCAGGATGGTTGCAATAACTCCTCACCACAGCCCCTTCACCAGCGCTGGCCGGGACAGCTGCTCCGCTCACGGTCCTCTCCCAGCACCTGCTTCAAGGGAGCACTGGTATTTTCAGCCCAGAGCACAGGGAACGGGAATAACAGGGGGAAAAAAAAAAAAAAAAAGGGTCTGCTGGAAGGAAAAAAGTGCAACTTTTTTCTGCAGGCTTCCCCCCCCTCAAATATGCCAGAAGGCTTTTTTGAGATCCCAGATCTCCAACATTTGCATCAAGATGAACTGCATTTTACAGGCTCTGGCTATAGGCAGCCTATTGTTGTCCAGTTGATTTTCCCATTGGAAATACCATGGAAATGTTTAACTGTTTTATAGCCAAGGCAGACTCCAGAAGTCAGCAGATAAAAGGAAAAGTTCAAAAGCTGGCTCACTAGGAGTTACTTTGAAGTTTTCTTCCATTTGCAACATGCAAAGGGACACCACCAGATTTTCCAACAACTTTTTTTGCATTCGCAATAAGGTGACAGTTGTGTTATTTTTTTACAAAAAGTTGCAGCTACATCAGCCAGCCCTGTTCAGGGTTGCAGTTTTTTTAGTAACCAGATCAATCCCCTTCTGTTTCACAGCTGCAAACTCTTACAGAGCAAAGATTCAATTAAAAAGCTAGAAGGAAGGGGGACTTTATTAATTTAATATCTAATCCCAAGGGTTTGTAGCAGACAAAGGCAACATGGCAGCTCACTCCCAAGGAAAAAAAAAAACCTAAAGGTCTCTGCAAGTTGCATTAGTTCCCTGTGGCAGTGCAAGAGTCGAGGAGCTAAACTTTGGGAAAAGGGCCAGCAATGTCAAAATTTAAACTTTCGGCGATCGCACGGTTGTGTATCGAGATACGCTGGTTCCCCAAAAAAGGGAAAACCCAACTTGCATTAAAGAGACAGAAACTTCGCAACTCTACCGAGCCCACCTCAGGAGCTGCAAGCTCAAAAGCAGCAAGAGGGCACTGAAAGAGCTCTTCTCCAACCAAGTCCCTCACTTTTCCCTTATAAGGAGCAAACATTGACTCAATAAACCATAAGGTAATCAGGAGTTAAAGAAAACTGTTTGGAATTAACATCCCCAAGAGAAAGGAGAGAAAAAAGAGCAAGCAAGCTGTTTAGCTGAGTACACTTGGAAAAAAATAGACAATCTATATGTTAAGTTTAGGCTGATACAAATACAAGGCATGCTCTTACCATGGTGAGACTGGAAGCTTGCTAAGATCTAAGCAAAACAGCTGCTGCCCCTGCCTCTCCCTGCAACTTTATAGCCCAGGAAGGCTTGACTCCACCTGAATATAAAGAAGCTTTCTGCTAGCTTAAAGGAGCAGAGCTCCTTTTCCTTTGCATCCCTAGAAATAGCAAGGGATAAAAGGATCTGTTGGTGTCTGGCTGGTGTGGTTTCTGTAATTAAACAGCCTTGGGTACAGTGCAAGGTGAACTTTTCGTGAATATTTTTTCAAAGAGCTTCAATTGGGTCTGGGGGGGCGGGGGGGGAGTAGATGCCAAAGTTTGGGTTTGGATAAAAAAGGAAACTCTGGGGAAGTTTGTGTGCCCCTATATGATTCACTTTCTCCAGCACAATCAATCTCCCCCTTATCGTTATTCAGAGCTGATACGCTGGATCTTGTCTATTTTTAGACACAATCCTGCAATTTTTGGTCTTTGTTCCGTGTCCCCGCTGACCTTCGAGGGAATCTGCTGACTTTTGCACCTCTGGGACATTCAGGCGTAGGCTCAGACCCCCCGTCTGCCTTACCTTCTGGCCATTAAGGGTTCATTTTGCCCTCCTGCCGACTGCTGACATCAGGACTCTGAGCCAGTTTTGGCCCCATCCTGCAAATGGGTAGGTACGTCCTTAAGACTGCTCTGGATCTGCCTTGAAGTCTCAGTAGTGCCTGTGTGGTTACTAGCAGCAGGTAGGCAAGAGTGGTTAGTGGTAACTTGTTTACTAATGCCCTTATTCACCTCTTCATTCTCCCATTAAAAGGTTCTTTGGTTCAGCCGTAGTTGCAAGAGGTTGATAGCTCTGGGCTCGGGGGAGATAACCATGTCACGGACTGTATCAGTACGAGCGTCAGGCAGTCAAGGGCATGAAGTTTTCCCTCTCTTCAGCATTTGTGAGACCCTCTCTGCTTACTGGGTCCAGCTTGGGCTTCCCAGTACAAGACAGATACTGGTATACTGGAGCACGTCCAGTGCAGATCACCGAGCTGGTCAGATTTGGAGTGTGGGATGTAGGAGGACAGGGTGAGTGTGGGGCTTGTTGATCCTTGAGAAGGGGAGACCTTTCAAGTCACCATCAAGGTGGTCAGACATTGGAGCAGGAACGTAACGATCGCGGAATTTTCATCCGTGAATGTATTCAAAACTCACCCGGGCAAGTCCGCAAGCAACTCATTCTAAGTTGACCTCAAGGTATTTTTAGGAGGCAGAGTTAACTCTTTCACCAAGGACCTGTGCACACCAACCTGATTGTTAGAACATCCCCAGCCACAGGGCAAATTCCTTTAGAGAAGTTTTATTTCCCTTTGTACGTTCAGCACCGTGTACGTATTCACCCCCCAGCTCTGCCGAGGCATGGGGACAAGACTGCAGCCTCGACAGACAAAGACATGAACTGTCCTGCAAGAGGAAAGCATCTATGGAAGAGCTCTCCTCCACTGGCACGTTCAGCCCAACCTCTGCCTCTGAGGGCAGATGGGAGCATTACCTGGTTCCTGCTTGGGGCTACGCCATGGCGTAGGAATTTAGGGATTTAGGGAATTCAAGCCAAGCAGGTTGGGCACACGGCTATGCCTGTTTTGGAAGTGGGGGAATTCAGCCGTAATTGGGTCAGGCAGGGTTCTTTTGTTAGACAGAGCATCATGCAAACACTGCTGTCAGCGTCGTGGCCTCCATACGTCTCCTGGGAATAAAGGTGGCCCCTGAGTAGAGAGAAGCTACTCATTTCTGCCCTAAACCAAGAGCCTCCTAAAATGTGTGCACCAAGCCTGCCGGTCAGACAAGATCTCTTTCCAAGGGGCATCTGTTCCTCAATGAGAAAAGAGAAAATTAGGAACTCGGGCAGTTTAGAGCGTGAAGCATTTATTCACTAAACGATGTGCTTTTGGTAAACCTCAAGGCAAAAAATTTGGGGTCTGATTTCTGTCTTTCCTGGGAAACGGAAAGGAAAAGAGAGAATTGCTATAGTCTGGTGGTGACAGGGACAACCTGCCTGCAATCTCAGCTCCAAGACATATTTAGAACAGCATCAACGAGAAGGACAGAGACCACCCCCCCAGAGGACCGGTTGCAGCAGCTCCCAGCCTTTTTATAGCCAGACCTCACAGCTGCTGCCTCCTTCTTCCCAATCCCAGGTCCTAAATATTGCCTTCCTGTTCTCCCTGGTTTTCCTATTGCTGTCCCCACCACGTGGGCTGGCACCAGCTGCTCTTCGCCTCTACGGAGAAAATCCTTACCGGTGAGGATGTGGGTGGTGACCCAAAACATGCTGGATGAGCGTCCTGAGACGGAGAGGAGAACTGATCTCTGGCTCCGCTCTGGGCAAGGACTTGACTCACCAGGCTGCTGAGGAACAGAGAAGGTGCTGCTTTTGCTGTGCTGCTTTGGAGAATGGCACTTAAATGTCACCCTTCAGGCCTATCGCTTGTTTTTGTTAGGGGTGCCCCCACGGAACCGAAAGGTTTGGCCCTGGGAAGAGAAAATATTTAATTCAATATTAATTGTTGGTGTTGCTGAAGCAGGA